ATCTTGGATTAGACCTCAGTGAATACATCGTATCCCAGATCTCTTCCAGCAATCACAAGAACTCGGACAACTTCCTCAACTGAGCCAGCAAGGGGCCACCGATGGTAGGTGACATTCTGAGCTAGTAGCGAAGTAAGGTCGTGTGATTGTAGACAAGGTGTAAAAGTGACGACTAGGATGGGGATCATCCTCAAATCCCAAATTGGGATAGCGAGGTCGAGTTTTTGAACGAGATGTGTCGAGAATGAGATCAGTGGTCCGGGTTGGGCACTGCCATTGATTTGGGCCTTTATCATGACCCGTCTGTGACGCATTCGCGCAGGTTCTGAACTCAGTGACAACTATTGTGCGATAATGATCAATACGCACACTTACGAGAGCTACTCGACGATGACGCCAGCCTTGTTTGTGAGTTGAATAGCATCTATCTCATATTTGCCTTCAACCATATTTCGTACAAGGTAAGTAGAGGATAAATATATTTTTGCTTGTCTTAACTCTGGAATAGTCATGATGAATCTATCTTGACGAAAGTTGTCTTCAAGTGAAAAAGGAGGCGCTAGGCTCTGCTTTCTTGCTCTCTCCCGGCGCTTTCACTCTTGTAACTTGGTATTGTTCCCAAACGGTCCTTCATCGACTATGACCGTTCGTATCAATACATTGAGGAAGAATACTTGCCCCTGGCGTTCCCAAGTCAGGTAAGACACAGTTTAGGTCGTCCGTACTGGTGGCGCGCAGAGTTCTGATCAATTTTGCCCTCAACTTTCTACCATAGAGAGCCAAAAAGATTCAAAACATCTGTACTTACGATGCTAGACCCAAATGGACGTTCACTGAATATCCAGAGGGTAAGTTGCCCGATAACCCCATATTTGCCACAAGGATACTCGAAGGCTAAACATCCTTTCAGGCCTTTTCTGAGCAAAAAAAGCTCAGTTATATCTTTAATGCCCGTTTGCGCAAGAGTGTGCCACTGCCCTCTGATGGACCTTGTCCGGGAGCGCCGCGACAGGCGACTGTCTCCTTACCCATTGACGAGGAAGTTGTCCGAGTTCTTGTGATTGCTGGAAGAGATCTGGGATACGATGTATTCACTGAGGTCTAATCCAAGAT